TTTGTAAGAAACTATGTGATTGATTTGATTTAATTAAGTAGTCATACAATTTATAGTTACACAATATGATTATATTATTAATAAATTCATAGATTTTATTTTTCGGTCATATACAAATTTGGAAATGAACTCAATTAGTTATAATGATGATGCATAATTTATTAAGTTATATTATAGAGTTAATGCAAAATAAAATTAGTATATGAATTTTTTGTTTCAACTATACTCTATATGTTAATTATTATTTTTTTTTAAATTATAGATATAATAAGTTTTTAAATATAAATGGTATAATAAATTTCAATTGTTTAACAATTTAACAAATATAAAACCATATTATGCATCATATCCATATATATGAGTAATATGTATCTTGAATTACATAGTTTTAAAAACTAAAATAAGATAAATTAATAATCTTAATTAATCTTTCATGTCCTTGCTTTAGGACTACTAATTTGCTCTCTCTCTCTCTCTCTCATTAATTATCAAACCAATAGTGCCATTGGTTTCAAACTTTCAAGTAAGCACGCAAGAATCTTTCACCCATGAATTCTTAAGAAAATCGTGGGGCCAAGCCCGGTCTAAGTCTTGCAAAATTGGTGCGTGGTGACAACGAGAGTTTCTTATTAGTCCTTTTTTTTTTTTTTTTTTTTTAAAAAAAAGGGGACAGACTTGGACCAAAAAGACTAACATGTAGAAATTAGTCTTCTTTTTCTTTAAAGAGAACAGACTTTGAAAAAATAATTAACGTGTAGAAATTAGTCCTCTTTTTCTTTAAAGGAAACAAACTTTGAAAAAATAATTAACGTGTAGAAATTAGTCCTCTTTTTCTTTAAAGGAAACAGACTTTGACAAAAAAGATTACCGTGTAGAAATTAATCCTCTTTTTCTTTAGAGGGGATAGACTTTAATAAAATAGATTAGCGTATGGAAAATTGAGATTAAAGTTTTGTTGGTAGACGATGGTAATGAGTGCGATAACAAAGAGATCAAATATTTTTTAAATAAATTTATGATTTCCTTTGATCGATGTGAGGTAACAAATTAATATATTTGTCATAAGACGATTCTTTGATCAATATGGTAGAAAAGGACAATATACTGGAGATTATTACAAAGAGTAATGTTACAGCTATCAACGGTAGTGCACCGAATGACATGACAAAATCATGATCGTTGATTAATATTAAGTTAAAATTAATTAACGGTTAATATTTTACCACGTTATTCGGTGTACAAATTCGGTGCACTACCGTGGTTGTATTATTTTCCTATTACAAAAAGCACTCAACTTTGGAATAAAAAAGCATTGGTTCTATTTCCTCTTAATCATCTTCTCTCTTCTCTTGCTTTATTTTATAATAAATCCAATGTTTTTTATTTACATGTACAAACCAGTTTTTAATAAAGAATTTCAATTTCTAAATGGCTTTTTATTCTTGTAGGACCAAGTTGTGGAAAACCAATTATTACGGCTCATAAACATCTATTTCATGAATATTGATTCAAACATTATGACTCTTGAAACTTATTGCAAGTTTCATACTTGGGGAATTGATCCATAAACTTACAAAAATGTCATTTTCCTTACATAAATTTATGGGTCCTCGCCAATTTCCTTCTTTTGGTAACAAAAATCTCAATCAAATAATGGAATATATAGAAGGAATTAAAGCATGAAAAGCTATTGGCCATTCTATTTATTCTATTATTTGATTGAGATTTTCGTGACCAAAAAAAGGAAATTGGTTAGTGAGCCATAAGGAATCCATCACCTCAAGGTTCATGATCTTTCTTTATCTAGTTTGTTGAGATATATGTTGACATTTCAATATTTAGAAACCCTTCAAATACGTAGTTTAAGATGATATTTATTTTTCTGTCAATAAGAGATATATATATTGATATATCATTCTCCTCATTTGCCTTTAAATAAAAGACATGAAAACTAACATTTTCACAATTTAAACAAAAAAGATTAAGTGGTTGTCAAATTCCATTATTTACTTGAATATAACGATGTAGTAAGATTATATATGATTTCTATTTTTGTTTAATCATAAATATAAAATTAAAATCTCAAACCTAACTATTTGTATAGTCTTGAAATCTTAATGAGTTTTCAATTAATAGCGTGAATTGAATGACATTTGATATTTCTTTGTTTAATTTATCAATATATATTCATATTTCAATGTCTAAAAACCCTTCAATTACGTAGGGTCAAAAACATATTCTTGCTTTTGTCCATACAAGATATATATTGATATATCGTTCCCTTTCTTTCTCTATTTTTTTAATAAAAGACTTGGCTATTAACATTTTCGTAATTTAAATGGCAAATTTGCAAGATCTGTTATTTCTTTATTTAATTTGTCAAGACATATTTTCCACAAACATACAATAATATGACCAAAATTATGAAAGTTGATGAGTGAATAATATGACCAAAATTTCAATATATAATTATATGAAACGCATAGGGGTTAAGGAAAATTTCCCTTTTTATTAAAAATTAGAGTAAGAAAAATTGTTGGCCATTCATGTTATTCCATTATTTGATTGAAATTGTCTTGACCAAAATCAGTGTTTTAAAACCCAACTCGGTTGAATCGGGACCTGGGACTTTCACCAGGTCAGGTTAACAATTTCCCTATTCACCCAAAATCCTAGAATTTGGGATGATGGTTAACGAAACAATTGAAAGCCGGGATGTTGGAGCTTTTGAATACAAGATCTTGTAATCTAAAACTCGTTATTTTATTTTCTTTTATTATATTGGCTTGTTTAATTAATGATGAAACTTCCTTAACATACGCTCTGTTTCTTAATTAATATTCTTATGATCCAAGAAAATTTAATTACATAGGACAGTGAAAGATATCAATTATCAATTTGATTATTGGTAATCTTTTATGGTAAATGTTTAAGGGATGATGTAACACATCTGCCTATCATTTAAGACTTTGAATCATATGATCAGGTGAGGTGTATTTCCTATATAATTCATATGATGAATTAATTTCTTGCTACTCAAGAATTTTAAAAGTTGGTCAATCCAATGTTTTTGATTTACAGGCACAAACCAAATTTTAATAAAGAATTTCAATTGCTAAATGACTTTATTCTTGTAGGACCAAGTTGTGGAAAAAAAGTTCATGTTGTGGAAAATTAATTGTCACAGCTCATAAATATCTATTTTATGAAGACTGACTAAAATATTACAACTCTTGAAAATTAATGCAATTCTCATACCTAATTTTCCAATGGGCCAAGAAGTCTACCCAAAAATTATTTCATGTAGGGTCAAGTCAGGGCTCATAGAAATTATTTTCCAATGGGACAAGTTGTAGAAAAAAAGTTCAAATTGTGGAAAACCAATTGTCACGGCTCATAGAAATTATTTTCCAATGGGACAAGTTGTAGAAAAAAGTTCAAATTGTGGAAAACCAATTGTCACGGCCCAAAGAAATTATTACGCTTTTAAATTTTTTGTATAAAAAAGGATCACTGATTAATTAATAATTTAGTGGGATAATTGTAATAAAAAAAAAAAGTATAAATAAACAAATAAAGTAAGAGTCTTTGTGAGTGGAATGGTCCAAAAGCCTCCGATTTGACAATCTCCTAGACAGTGAAGCGTGTTAAGCATGTGACGCCGATTAATTTCTAGGTATAAATTTGACAAGAAAACATCAAAACTTTAAATTAGAGGGAAGATCTATGTGAATAACATCATGTTTGTTAAATGTTAGTTGCAAGAAAGTAACAGAAAAATAAAGTAAAAATTGATCAATTTCTATGACTATCCGGAAGTTTCTGATATCATTGATTAGGATATGTATTTTCCTCATAGTCATATACTAAGTGATAGTTTTAGAAATTTTAGAGATACTTTATGATAATGTTATCGAAATGATGTTGAATTATTGTAGATATATGGATTTATGTTTATTTGGGTTGGTGGGTGTAGGGAAAAAGAAGTGGGAAATTTTTAAACATTTCTACCAATGCTACAAACTTTAAACATTTCTAAAAATGCTTTAAATGGTAGCATTCCCTCTTCATTTGGTGACATAACTCATTGGAAAGTTTGGACATGTCCAACAATTTATTGATTGGAGGAATTCATTTGGCAGTTTTTAGAGTGGCACACAATAATTTATCGAGCAAAACCCCCGATAGGATTGTACAATTTGGAACCTTCAAAGAAGGTAGCTACGAGAGAAATCCATTTCTTTATGGACAATCATTGCCATAAAGTTGCAATGCAATTGAATCACCATTACGTAGACCAAAAGATTCAAGTATTAGTGGAGAAGACAATAATTTCATTGATATGGATATATTTTATATCGGTTTTGTTGTGTCTTACATAATTGTGCTCTTAGGGGTTGTTAGAGTTTTGTTTATAAACCCTTATTGGTGTGTAGATGGTTTTATATTGTTGAGTTGTTGATAGCAACCTGTTATTATTTTGTTGTAGATCATCTCCATAAGTGATTTGATCATGAAATAGTTAGTTTGATTATATTAAGTAACACACATCAAACATTTTATGTTCTTGTTTAATTCCATGGGATCTTCGTCAATTCTTACCGATTTTCTGTGAATTCAAATAGCCAATTTCTCTTTATGTGTTCACTTTTCACATTCACTTGCTTTCCACTGATAATTTGTTTTAGGAGAATGAACACCTCATTGTTTTAGCAAGCAAATTCAATTGTTGGTTGTACTACATTTCTTAGGCATTTACCATTAACTGATAATTGAAAGTAGTAATAGTGATCAATATATTATATGCATTTTAATGGAGGATTTTCTGCAGCAATTTATTAGATAAGAATATATGGAAATTCAAGGAATTTCTTGGTTTCCAACATAATTGCTTTAGTTACTACTGACTGTTTCAGAGTGCTCTGAAAATAAGCGCCTCATTAATTGAACTTGGCATGGCATATATACAAGCCACTAAAAAAATGGATTTTCTGCAGCAGTTGAGAAATGAATAATGATTTGGAATTCACAAAATTTATTGGTCTCAATAAGCTCCGTAGTCATGAATTTTTTTAGTCATGGGTTTAACTATACATAATCAACATATGACAAATAAAACCAACAGCACCATTCATCCATCCTTGTGTACTCTGTGATCCTCTTGAAAGAAAAGAAGAAAAAATTGACAGGGAACAGTGTAACCAAGCAAGTGTTCTCCTCCATGTTCTACTCCCTTATCTTTTGGATTCCAACCCACCGTGCATAATCCACCCACCTGCTCATAAATTATATGCAAAGTTCAAACACTGAAATGACGAAAATTGAGCAAATTGATCTGATATGGCCCTAGCATAGAGTTCCAAAAATCTTACATCAGTGATCCCAAAAACGTGTTGCCGGTTCGAACAGCAAAACATATTGCACTGAGTATAAGTTTATGTTGGTGTAACAATGGCTCTAGAATCCGCTGTTCAATAATTCCTGCAAGTACTTGATACCTGTTCAAAAAAGAATAGCCATCCTTTTGTTAGAGCTAGCTTTCATCTTTAGAAGGATTATTAGGGTAGAGAATCATCTATATTAAAGTTTATTTGTACTTCTTTTTCCCCGAGTATTAGAATTCTCTTAGAAGCATAATTATAAAACTGAATTGGCATACATCTTGATGAAAAGCATTTTGTCATCCCAAAATTATATTCTCAACAACTTCTAGCCATCTGCCAATTAGAGTTACACAGGCGAAATCATACTCAGATCCTTACTGACATTACATCTTCAGACTTGTTGTAATTATTTTGAACCCTTAACTCCAAAATATTTTTCATAAATCTAGTCATCATCTATGCAAATTTAAAACCCAGAAAAGATAAAAAGGCCTTCTTAGATGAAAAATCAAGGCAAAGGGCACAAGTAGTAAGAACAGAGAATATTTTGTGCTGAAATAGCATTGATGTGTGTAAAATTATGTCCCCAACTTAATTTGTTAAAGACAACTCAGGATAATCATTCTGGCTTACCTCAAAATTTGAGATATAGTAAGGACATGAAATATTATGTAACCTCATGGAGAAAATTATATTATATGCTGATAATCATTACCTTAGGTTGCTAGAAACTGCCATGTAAAACTTAATAATTTAGTGGGATAACTGTAATAAAAAAAAAAAGTATAAATAAACAAAAAAGTAAGAGTCCTTGTGGTGGGAATGTGGATGCCAAAACCTCCGATTTGACAATTTCCTAGACAGTGAAGCGTGTTAAGCAGTGAGTGATTAATTTCTAGGTATAATTGACAAGAAAACATCAAAACTTTAATTGTTAGAGGAAGACTATGTGAATAACATCATGTTTGTTAAATGTTAGTTGGAAGAAAGTAACAAAAAATAAAAAAATAAAAAATGATCAATTTCATGACTATCCCGAAGTTTGATATCATTGATATGATAGGATTTTTCCTCATAGTCATATAAGTGATAGTTTTAGAAATTTTAGAGAATTTTATGATAATGTTATCGAAAAGATATTGAATTATGTAGATATATGGATTTATGTTTATTTGGGTTGGTGGGTGTAGGGAAAGAAGTGGGAATTTTAAACATTTTACCAAAGCTACAAACTTTAAACATTTCTAATGCTTTAAATGGTAGATTCCCTCTTCATTTGGTGACATAACTCATTGGAAAGTTTGGACATGTCAACAATTTATTGATTGGAGGAATTCATTTGGCAGTTTTTAGAGTGGCACAATAATTTATAGGCAAAACCCCGATAGGATTGCAATTGGAACCTTAAAAAAGGTAGCTAGAGGGAAATCCATTTCTTATGGACAACATCTGCCATAAGTTGCAATGCAATTGAATCACCATTACTAGACCAAAAATTCAAGATTAGTGGAGAAGACAATAATCATGAAGGATATATTATATCGGTTTTGTTGGTTTACATAATTGTGCTCTTAGGGGTTGTTGAGTTTGTTATAACCCTATGGTGTGTAGATGGTTTTATTGTTGAGTTGTTGATAGCAACCTGTTATTATTTTGTTGTAGATCATCTTAAGTGATTTGATATGAAATAGTTAGTTTGATTATATTAAGTAACACCATCAAACATTTTATGTTTTGTTTAATTCCAAGGGATCTTCGTCAATTCTTACGATTTTCTGTGAATCAAAACAGCTTTTCTTATGTGTTCACCTACATTCACTTGCTTTCCACTGATAATTTTTTAGAGAATGAACACCTCATTGTTTTAGCAAGCAAATTCAATTGTTGGTTGTACTACATTTCTTAGGCATTTACCATTAACTGATAATTGAAAGTAGTAAGTGATCATATATTATATGCATTTAATGGAGGATTTTCTGAGAAAATGGTGGGGCCAAGCCAGGTCTAAGTCTTGCAAAATTGGTAGGTGGTGACAACGAGAGTTTCTTATTAGTCTTTTATTTATTTATTTATTTTTTTTTTTCTTTTTCTTTTTTTAAAAGGGGGACAGACTTTGACCAAAAAGACTAACATGTAGAAATTAGTTTCTTTTTCTTTAAAGAGAACAGACTTTGAAAAAATAATTAACGTGTAGAAATTAGTCCTCTTTTTCTTTAAAGGAAACAGACTTTGACAAAAAAGATTGCAGGGTGGAAATTAATCCTCTTTTTCTTTATAGGGGAAAATTGAGGTTAAAGTTTCGTTGGTAGGCGATGGTAATGAGTGCGAGAACAAAGAGATCAAATATTTTTTAAATAAATTTATGATTTCTTTTGATCGATGAGGGGTAACAAATAAATATATTTGTCATAAGAAGATTCTTTGATCAATGTGGTAGAAAAGGACAATATACAGGAGATTATTACAAAAGGCCTCAACTTTGGAATAAAAAAGCATTAGTGTTATTTCCGCTTAATCATCTTCTCTCTTCTCTTACTTTATATTATAATAAATCCAATGTTTTTTATTTACATGTAGAAACCAGTTTTTAATAAAGAATTTCAATTTCTAAATGGCTTTTTATTCTTGTACGACCAAGTTGTGCAAAACCAATTATCACGACTCATAAACATCTATTTTATGAATACTGATTCAAACATTATGACTCTTGAAATTTATTGCAAGTTTTATACTTGGGGAATCGATCCATAAACTTACAAAAATGTCAATTTCCTTATATAAATTTATGGGTTCTTGCCAATTTCCTTCTTTTGGTAACAAAAATCTCAATCAAATAATGGAATAAATAGAAGGAATTAAAGCATGAAAAGCTATTGGCCATTCTATTTATTCCATTATTTGATTGAGATTTTCGTGACCAAAAGAAGGAAATTGGCGAGTGAGCCATAAGGAATCCATCACCTTGAGGTTTATAATCTTTCTTTATCTAGTTTGTTGAGATATATGTTGACATTTCAACATTTAGAAACCCTTCAAATGCATAGTTTAAGATGAAATTTATTTTTCTGTCAATAAGAGATATATATGTATTGACATATCATTCTCCTCATTTGTCTTCAAATAAAGGACATGAAAACTAACATTTTCACAATTTAAACAATAAGGATTAAGTTGTTGTCAAATTCCATTATTTACTTGAATATAATGATGCAGTAAGGTTATACATGATTTCTATTTTTGTTTAATCATAAATACAAAATTAAAATATCAAACCTAACTATTTTGTATAGTCTTAAAATCTTAATGAGCTTTCAATCAATAGCGTGAGTTGAATGACATTTGATCTTTCTTTGTTTAATTTATCAATATATATTTACATTTCAACATTTAAAAACCCTTCAATTACATAAAGTCGAAAACGGATTCTTGCTTTTGTCCATACAAGATATGTATTGACATATCGTTCCCTTTCTTTCTCTGTCTTTTAATAAAAGACTTGATTATTAACATTTTCGTAATCTAAACGACAAATTTGCAAGATCTGATATTTAATTTGTCAAGACATATTTTCCTCAAACAGATTTCAATAATATGACCAAAATTATGAAAGTTGAGGAGTGAATAATATGGCCAAAATTTCAATATATGATTATATCAAACGCATAGGGGTTAGGGAAAATTTCCCTTTTTATTAAAAATTAGAGTAAGAAAAATTGTTTAATTAATGATGAAACTTCCTTTTGAATACAAGATCTTGTAAAACTCGTCATTTTATTTTCTTTTATTATATTGGCTTGTTTAATTAATGATGAAACTTCCTTAACACACACTCTATTTCTTAATTAATATTGCTATGATCCAAGAAAATTTAATTACATGGGACACCCGGACGTATCAATTATCAATTTGATTATTGGTAATCTTTTATGGTAAATGTTTAAAACATGATGTAACACATATGCCTATCATTTAAGACTTTGAAACATGTGATCAGGTGAGGTGCATTTCCTGTATAATTCATATGATAAATTAATTTCTTGCTGCTCAAGAATTTTAAAAGTTGGTCAATCCAATGTTTTTTATTTACAGGCACAAACCACTTTTTAATAGAGGATTTCAATTGATAAATGACTTTTTATTCTTGTAGGACCAAGTTGTGGAAAAAATGTTAAAATTGTGGAAAATTAATTGTCACAGCTCATAAATATCTATTTTATGAAGACTGACTAAAATATCACAACTCTTGAAAATTAATGCAATTCTCATACCTAATTTTCCAATGGGGCAAGAAGTCTACACAAAAATTATTTGATGTAGGGCCAAGTCAGGGCCCATAGAAATTATTTTCCAATGGGACAGGTTGTAGAAAAAAAGTTCAAATTGTGGAACCAATTGTCACGGCTCCTAGAAATTATTACGCTTTTAAAAGTTTTATATAAAAAATGATCATTGATTAATTAATAATTTAGTGGGATAACTGTAATAAAATAAAAAAAGTATAAATAAACAAATAAAGTAAGAGTCCTTGTGAGTGGGAATGTGGGATGGTCCAAAACCCTCCGATTTGACAATTTCCTAGAAAGTGAAGCGTGTTAAGCATGTGAAGATGATTAATTTCTAGGTATGAATTTGACAAGAAAACATCAAAACTTTAAATTCCTTTTGTTTAGAGGGAAGACCTATGTGAACAACATCATGTTTGTTAAATGTTAGTTGGAAGAAAGTAACACAAAAATAAAAAAATAAAAAATGATCAATTTCAATGACTACCCGAAAGTTTCTGATATCATTGATCATGATATGTATTTTCCTCATAGTCATATACTGAGTGATAGTTTTAGAAATTTTAGAGATATTTTATGATAATGTTATCGAAATGATATTGAATTATTGTAGATATATGGATTTATGTTTATTTGGGTTGGTGGGTGTAGTGGAAATGAAGTGGGAAATTTTTAAACATTTCTACCAAAGCTACAAACTTTAAACATTTCTCGAAATGCTTTAAATGGTAGCATTCCCTCTTAATTTGGTGACATAACTCATTGGAAAGTTTGGACATGTCTAACAATTTATTGATTGGAGGAATTCATTTGGCAGTTTTTAGAGTGGCATACAATAATTTATCGGGCAAAACCCCCGATAGGATTGCACAATTTGGAACCTTTAAAAAAGGTAGCTATGAGGGAAATCCATTTCTTTATGGACAACCATTGCCATAAAGTTGCAATGCAATTGAATCACCATTACATAGACCAAAATATTCAAGCATTAGTGGAGAAGACAATAATTTCACTGACACGGATATATTCTATATCGGTTTTGTTGTGTCTTACATAATTGTGCTCTTAGGGGTTGTTGGAGTTTTGTTCATAAACCCTTATTGGTGTGTAGATGGTTTTATATTGTTGAGTTGTTGATAGCAACCTGTTATTATTTTGTTGTAGATCATCTCTATAAGTGATTTGATAATAAAATAGTTAGTTTGATTATATTAAGTAACACGCATCAAACATTTTATGTTTTTGTTTAATTCCAAGGGATCTCCGTCAATTCTTACTGATTTTCTGTGAATCCAAACAGTCGTTTTGTCCTTATGTGTTCACTCTTCACATTCACTTGCTTTGCACTGATAAGTTGTTTTAGAGAATGAACACCTCATTGTTTTAGCAAGCAAATTCAATTGTTGGTTGTACTACATTTCTTAGGCATTTACCATTAACTGATAATTGAAAGTAGTAATAGTGATCAGTATATTATATGCATTTTAATGGAGGATTTTCTGCAGCAATTTGTTAGATAAGAATATATGGAAATTCAAGGAATTCTTGGTTTCCAACCCACCGTGCATAATCCACCCACCTGCTCATAAATTATATGCAAAGTTCAAACACTGAAATGAAGAAAATTGAGCAAATTGTTATGATATGGCCCTAGCATAGAGTTCCAAAAATCTTACATCAGTAATCCCAAAAACGTGTTGCCGGTTCGAACAGCAAAACATATTGCACTGAGTATAAGCTTATGCTAGTGTAACAATGGCTCCAAAATCCATCGTTCAATAATTCCTACAAGTACTAGATACCTGTTAAACAAAGAATGGCCATCCTTTTGTTAAGAGCTAACTTTCATCTTTTGAAGGATGTTTAGGGTAGAGAATCATCCATATTAAAGTTATTTGTACTTCTTTTTTCCCGAGTATTAGAATTCTCTTACTAGCATAATTATAAAACTGAATTGGTATATATCTTGATGAAAAGCATTTTGTCATCCCAGAATTATATCCTGAACAACTTCTAGCCATCTGCCAATTAGAGTTACACAGGAGAAATCTTACTCAGATCCTTACTGACATTACATCTTCAGACTTGTTGTGATTATTTTGAACCCTTAACTCCAAAATATTTTCCATTAATCTAGTCATCATCTATGCAAATTTATAACCCAGAAAAGATAAAAAGGCCTTCTTAGATGAAAAATCGAGGCAAAGGGCACAAGTATTAAGAGCAGATAATATTTTGTGCTGAAATAGCATTGATGTGTGTAAAATTATGTCCCCAACTTAATTTGTTAAAGACAACTTAGGATAATCATTCTGGCTTACCTCAAAATTTGAGATATAATAAGGACATGAAATATTATGTAACCTCATGGAGAAAATTATATTATATGCTGATAATAATTACCTTAGGTTGCTAGAAACTGCCATGTAAACACCATAGGCAACACTAGTTGAAAGTATGGGCACATCCTCTGCTTCACAAGCAAAAGACTCATCAAAGGTCTTTCTCGTATTGATCAAAGCATTTGTTATACCTGTACCAATTTGTAAAATGATGCCATCGGTCAAATGCCACCCAATTGGAATTAGAATAATCAATTTTCTATTGAGCAAAATTTTAGACTGGTAAAACTCAATACCAATACCTTATGCTAGCTTTAGATGTACAATAAAGTGAAAATACGAAATACAAGCTTTCCCAATGACAGTTAAGAAATGTGAAGTTTTAAAAAGAACGCAAAAGGCTAGTAGGATGAGGAACCAAAGATTAAAATAGGTGACATCCACCCTTATATCATTAATTTTTTTTATTGGAATTGACATAATGAACATAAGAATCAACGGGTAAAAGAATGTTATGCTGGTATCATCCTGACGAGAGAAACAAAAGAAGTAACATACAGAGAAAAACCAGACACTGAAATTTTACAATAAATTCCTTTGAGATAGTAAGAAATCAGAGTTCAAATTGCATAATTAGTTAAATACTGTTAGAAATACCCAAAATATGAATTGACTCTAATAAATAATGTTAGTGGCAAGAGAGATAAGAGTGGCTACATAATCTCACTGAAAACACAAGGATTATGATGGAGCATTCCTTCTTGATGGACAATATAAAGTTTAGTACTAGTAGAAAAGCATCCAAAGATTGAATACCTAAAACTGCAAAAGGCTAAAATAAAATATTTTGAAGTTTGGGTCGCCTAAGGCAAACTCAAGAAGTCTGCCCAGAGGAAAGGAGGCCCAAGATCAGCCCAAAACCCAATAATCTATCTCTCAATAAACACTTGTTGAATTGTTACTGAGTCATGATTCCAGTGCTAGTGATGGAAACTTGGTAATCCCTATAGTTGGGATGGGAGGTGCAGGCAAGACAACACCCGCTTAACTTGTCTATAATGATAATAGAGTAGAAAATCATTTTGCTGTTAAAGCATGGGTATGTGTTTCCGACGATTTTGATGTTTTGAGAATCACAAAAACAGTCTACAGTTAATTGCTACTGGGAGTGGTGATATTAATGACCTGAACAAACTTCAAGTTGAATTGAAGGAAGAGCTCCCAAAAAGTAGTTCTTGCTTGTTTTGGATGATATTGGATGCAAAATTATAATCAACGGACCCTTTTACGTTGTCCATTTGAAGCTGGCCTGCCAGGAAGTAAAAATTGTTGTCACAACTGTCAATCAAAGTGTTTCATTAATGGTGAAGACTTGTGTGGAGTATCTTTTGCAAAAGTTGTCAAACTATCATTGTTTGTATATATTATTGTAACTTACATAAGTAGTAACTGCTCTCTAAAGTTATATAACGGATTTCAACAGCCATTAGGGATGGGAATAAGCCCAATGTCTGTAAGAGACTCTTCCATCACTAATACTCATAGTGCTTAGATAAAGCCGAGTCAAATTGCCCAAACTCGTTTCACCGGTGTGTTGTGAAATATTCAAACACAATATTTTCAATGGTTTCTGAAATTGAAAATTAGAATAAAATACAACTCTAAAATTTGAAATGCCCTCTTTAGATAAATATAGTACATGTGTGCTATTGTGCTTCTCATAAAGAAGCAGCAATGTTGGTAAACGATGAGAAATGTAAATTTACATATTATAAATCATCAATAAGTACCTTTGGAGATTACAATTTTTTTAATCTCAATTCCGCCCATGTGCAACGCCTCAGCTGCTCAAGAGTCCAATTCTGGCAAGAGTTAAATAGAGTGAGTTAAAACTAATCAAAAAGTATTTAAGAAGACTTTAATTCAATTAAAAACTTTCCTTAAGCCAACATGAATTTCTTGTAGATACCCATAGGCTTCAATATTGTCTTTTAAATGGATATAAGTTTATCCTTTTGGCAAATCTCATTTTTGCTCCAATTATTTACCTTCTTTGAGTTGGTCAAAGAGTTTAATTAGGGGTGGGAAATTCTGATTAACCGAAACCAAAACCGAACCAGTTTTTCAATTCAAGTTTTTACTTGAACCAATACCTAACGGGTGAACCGAACCAAATATGCGGTTCGATTCACCGGTTAACTGGTTTTAAAATCAAGAAACTATGACTGAGAAAGTTTGGCCATGGGCCACCAGAACTTCTACTCTCAAATTCAGCCAAATGTAGGAGAAATTTAAATATCACCTAAAAGTTTTGATATAAATAATAAAATATTAAATCACCCAAAAGGCCAAAAGTGAAACTACCCAGTACCCGTTACTATTATTCTTCACCGAAGAAGTCAAATTAAGCCACCCAAGTTCATACATCTTCACAAATCAAATAACTGAAGATTGGAGAAAAAGACGAAAAGAAGAGGAAAAATGGAAGAGAAGAAAAGGAAAGAGAACGTAAGAAAGGAAGAAAGATAAACTAAAGGAGAAGAGACGAGGAAAAAGACGAAAAAGAAGAGAAAATCCAAGGAGAGAAGATAAAAAAGGAAGATGAAAGAGAAACGTGGAGGAGAAGACAGAAGATGTGAAAAGGAAGATGAAAGAAAAAAGTGGCAGTGGCGGTGGGCCTAGGAAGTTAAGTATAATTATAGTAGGGTTTTCATTTTTTTATTTTTTTAAACCGGTTTTAGAATCCAATTTTGGTTAACCATTTAAAAAAAACCTGTAAACCGAACTGAATAATTGGTTTATGAATTTTCAAGCCGAATCGATTTTCAAAAAATCAAATTTTTTGTTCAGTTTCGTGATTTTTGGTTCAGTTTTGGTCTTTTTTTCCCACCCCTAAGTTTAATTACAGAGTCAGCTAAACTATAGAAAATGAAAAAGTGTTTGGACAGGGTAACTAAAGTTTATGAAACCATGAGAGAAATTAAAGATGAGAAGCAAGCTTACCTTGAAGATCAACAGTGCCTTCAATCCAATGTCGTCAAATATAGTTCTTTTAATGATATAAGAGAGTAGACACATATGATAATATGCTATTGTTGAACATGTTATTGTTTAATCTCAGATACTCCAAGTTACTCAACCCTGAACTAAAAGCAGTCCAATAATAATAGTAATAATAATAACCGTACATAATTTTGAGTATCAATATAATATATAAGTGATAATAAAGTTATATCATTTAAAAGAACATCACCATTAAAATGGTTTAGTTCTCTAAACTGATTATAAGCTAGACTTAAATGCTTGAGAGATGAATGTTCGTCAAACCTCGTAAAATGCAGCTACCATTACACATATTGTAACTAAGGTCGAGATCCACGAAATTATTCAAGTGTGATAATCTTTCAAAACCTACAAAACAATTCTTAACAAAGACATGGAAGTAAAATTCATAATTAAAGTGAGGAGGAAAAACCTTCATTCTCAACGCACACCGGCTATGAGATTGTCAGATAATTAAGTCTATACAGTTCTTGGAAAGAGAGAAAACAAAGAAACATTTAGATACCTCTCCTAATTCCTGATTCTTGCAGAGCCAAGATCAAGAGAGATCACTCTGCTGTTGTCAAATTGCAATCAACACTTTCCCAGTCACAACAGTATGAATTTCCATGTCTCTCAACCCAATTTTGAAGACGGTTAGGATTATTGAAGAAATGTTTAAGTTGCAAGAGAGAGTTCTTTCTTGCTTCAAACACCCCTCTATCTCCCTCCTTGAAAGAAATAAACATCGAAATCAACATCAGCCTACCCTCACATGTTTTAACGCATCTCTTAATAACACACTAATCGCGTTCTTCTGTGACTACCAAGAGACTAGCTTTGTGCTATTTATAATGGGGAGAAACCGGTTCTTTATTGACTTAATATTGCAACACAAACAAGAAAGAAATGTGCAAAATAAATACAACTATATTGATTTGTCTTACCAATATTATAGATCACAATATTAATAAAAGAAAAAAAACCCCAATGTTTTTGAAGATTAATTACGAAAACAATAACTTCGTAATATTTTGTAAGATCAAGGTCAACCAAAGTAACAAGCTTCTTGGAATCTCTCTATAAGTTATGCTGAAGTCTTTTTCTACCCACTTGACTGGAAATACTAGACTCTATGTTCCGAGAAAGTAACAGAGGATAAGGCATTCTTCACGAATGGAATTCTTTTTTTTGTTATATGGTTTAGTTTCATTCAGCACTCCTTGTTTTCAGCTAGTATTACATAAACATGATGATTATTAAAAACCATCCTACATCATGTTAAAACCTCCATAAAATATTTAAAAACCATGCAATACTTGCTAATATTATAACTGTTCTTAAATTTTAACAAACCTAAATGTGTGTATAGACAAACCCTTTAAACTTTTTAAAAAGTTATATATTGTTTCCATTGTGTAGAAGAAAGCACAAATTATCTTACCTCTCTTGCTTAATTTTATGCTTTTTATTCTTGTGGGTATTGGCTCTCACAATTTTAAATTTTAAATGGTTTTTATTCTTGTAGGACCAAATTGTGGAAAAATGTTCAAGTTATGGAAAACCAATTGTCACGGCTCATAAGCATCTATTTCATGCACACTAACTCAAACATCATGACTCTGAAACTTAATGCCGTCATATTAACTTTCCAATGGGGCAAGAAGTGAACACAAAAAATATAACGTAGGGCCAAGTTGTGGAAGAAAGATTGGAACCCAATCATCACGACGTAAAGACATCAATTTCAGAAAGCAAATCCAAACACAAAATAGGCTTTAGCATAATCATTTTATCTTATTAAAATTGCTGTAATTCAAGATACATATTACTCTATATATGTATTGATGCATAATATGGTTTTATATTTGTTAAATTGTTAAACAATTAACGTTATTTCATTTATATTTAAAAACTTATTTATCTCTATATTAAAAAAATTATTAACATGTAGGTTATAATTTTATTATGTGTCTATTCTGTTAACTTTTATCCAATTTAAATTTGATTAAATCACACACTAGATAATGAGATAAACCCTATATTTTGATAACATGATTTATGACTTTTAAGTGGATGGATTGGAATTTGAACACCGCTAGTTAATCCTTATGAT